TCTTGGACCAAAAACTCAATAAAGTGATAATAAGGAGATCTAAGAATTCACTAAGCAAGTTTGAGACTTTCTTACCAGAAACTGATGAGAATGAAGTGGTGTCTCTGGATCTACTAGCTTCTTCTTAAATCCTCAAGCTTCTCCTTCTTCCTCAAGCTTCACATACACAAGATTTCTCTCAAAATGGCTCACAAGCTCACACAATGCATTAGGGTTTCGAGATCCAAGGTTTGGGACTTGGAGGCTGGAAATGAGGCCAGCCTATGGAGGTTAAAGTGTTTAAATAAGGTGCAAAGTCCCAATTTTAGGATTTCCCAAACCCAGTCCAACTCGTCAAGTTGGTCCTCCCCAACTCATCGAGTTGGTCTTCCAAAACGCGCGATCCAGCATTCCAACACGTCGAGTTTTCATCCTTGAACTCGACGAGTTGGCTTCTTAATTGCAGTTTTTCTTTCCTTAATTAGTCTTCTGGATTCCAGGTATTATACCTAAATGGTGGAGCAGTAACTTGGAAGAGTTCCAAACAGGACACAGTGGTTGATTCGACATGCGGATCAGAGTACATAGCTGCAAGTGAAGTATCTAAGGAAGCAGCTTGGTTGAAGAACTTCATCGGAGATCTTGGAGTTGTCCCTACCATTTAGGAGCCAATGGAACTTTTCTGCGATAATGAAGGAACGGTTGCCTTAAATAAGGAACCAAGAGATCATGGAAAGTCTAGACATATCGACAGAAAGTACCATTGCATCAAACATAGGGTAGAATAAGGCCACCTCATCTTGAAGAGGGTATCATCAGAAGAGAATCTTGCAGATCCTTTGACGAAGGCTCTGAGTAGGGTCAAACACAGTCTGAGATGATATTAGTTTTTAGTAATTAGATAGTTATCTTGAAACTTGTAACAAAATAAATGTAATTGATTTTTTGTGATTAAATAATGGAGAATTATTTATAAGTTTGCTTACTACCTTTTGTCAATTATTTATTCTTGTATTTCATTTTGCATGTTTTACTTCCCGAATAATATGATTATTCAAATTCCACAGTCGGTCATATTTTTGGAAGTAGTGAATTAAGACTGTCATAAATTGGATTGTAGATTATCTAAGGGAATTAGACATAACAACAATATTATTGCAATGTTCATGAGTACTTAGAAATGAAGATTTAAGTATTGGATAAACCCACGCTCAGAGAATTACTTCATGGATTCTATCACGAGTAATTCTGAGACGATATATATGAGTTGTAATTTACAAGTCGGTTGTACATTGGTAATGCGTAAACACATCAGTAGCTTGATGGTATAAAACGTATTGTCATGCATGATTTGATGAGCAAAAGATGCAAGCATATGATTCAAAGTTTATTCGTTCTTTTTTCCCTAACGGGAAAAGCAATATATTTGGGCCCCTCAATGATTTGGTGTCGACTTATAGTCCTGGGCCCAGTCATGATTAAATTGATGTGTTCAATTAGAAGTCCTATATCATCACAAATCAGAAATCCGGAAACAAAGCCTTGGACAATGAGATTGATTCTATTCCATGTCTCATGTCCGAATGATATCTTGAAGAACGGAGGATTATATGAACACTTATCTTAGGACACGTAACTGACTGGGTCAGAGTTCGGCAGCGGCTTTTGGAAGTTACAATTTCGGGATTAAAATAATTAATTAAAAGTGCATGGTCTAATAAGTTGAAATAAATAACTTATTAATATAAGAATAATATATTGATTAGAAAAACTATTATTTAACTAATAATTAATCAGAAATTAATTGGAATTAATTTCGGGATTAAAAAAATTAATTAAAAGTGCATGGTCTAAAGTGCAATTGTTCAATAGTTGAACAAAAGGCTCTAGAACCTTCCACCATTAGGGTTGGACGGTTTCTAGAGGGATATTCTAGGGTTTCTAGAATATTTCATATGGATAAATAAGGAGCCGTATAATTACCAATTTGAAATATTATTATTATATTTCAATTAGGGTTATCCAGGGTTTCCTTGTACCACTATATAAAGGACCCTAGCCCTTAGAATTTCGGCCACTCATCATTGACAAGGGTTAATCGAAATTCATACCTCCCCTCTCATCCTTCAAGTAATCTTTTTGCTAGTTTGGGTGTGATTCCATTAGAGGCACGCCATTTGTAGTGTTAGCTTCCAAGAGATCTACAAGTGAAGGATCATTGTTATTTACTACAATAACAATAAGGTATGTAATTATAAATCTTCTTTGGTATTTTCGAAAATAGCCTATACCATCTAGGGTTTCTTATTTAATGTTCTTAGTTATAGGTTCAATAGAGAAAACATACATCCTTAGGTTGCATGTGAACTTAGGGGTTTTAAGTTTATTTATTTTGCATAAAACCTATCAACAACAACAACAAATAACAAATGATATGCTCAAAATTGTGTGGATCATATTAAACTCAAGAACATAAACCAAGATATATATATATATATATATATATATATATATATATATATATATACATACATACACACACATATCATCATATGATTGATAAGGTTAACAAACGACACAATACAATTTACATAATTGCATCTGGTTCACAAAATATCTCTTGACGGTAACACTTGATAACAATGCTAATGGTGTACGCATTCACAGGAACATGAAGGACATTCAATTGTTTAAAAAGCTCAATTGAACAAGAATAATGTTTAATTTTGGTAACAACTTTTAACAATTGGCTGAATTAAACAACTGAGAGCAATGGTTTTCTCTGTGTCATTTCATCCAAAAGATTTAACCAAACAAGTCAAAATGAAGTAAAGCATAACAATTAAATATAGATGTTTACGCTAAAAGGAATGAATGGTTATTAATCACACATCACTTCTATATCCTTTGGTGTCGCCATGATTATATATCACTTATGTGGATGGAGAATCAACATCAAAGGCAAAGAATCTAGACTTTCTCAAACGAAGATTCATTAAATGAAGCCCAATTTTGAAACAATCGATAGCAAACACACAAAATCCATGTTGAATATTGAATATCGAAGATGGAATTAGGAAGAATAGAAAGAAGATGGACATGTTGCTGTTTATCAGGGAAATGAGGAATATGGTGACAACGTATTCTGTCAACCCTAGCACACACATAGACATTGACGTTAGTCGAAGGAGGGAAGAGTGACACATATGGAGGTGGGAGGCGCATATGTCTGAGGTGGGCAAAGAAGGAACACATGGTAAGTCGGAGGAGAAAGGCAAATTAGGGGAATAAAGTTCCAGTCTCAATCAACATTAATATTTTATTGGACTGAGTAAGCCAATTTTGTAGACCGAGTCAGAGGTACCGACCCCATCAGATGCAAATCAACTATCTTGACCGGATCTAATCAACACCAAATCAAACAGAGCCTAAATATGTTTTAAAAAAATTATGTAGGGATCATCTTTGCAATAAATTAAACGTTCGGCCTAAATCTAAATTTGTTGGAAAACTAGAGATGAAATTCATTATTCCTTTTTATTTTATTCGTAGTAGTTCACGTTTAGAAGGCAAGATAAGGGTGGGCCCAAGTCTCCTACTTGGCTACTCATAACATTAAATGAAAATGAAAATGAAAATTAATTAATATAAATATAAAACAATTAATAAAGAAAAAAAGGAAAGAAATACGACTCACTCGATAACTTCATCCTTGCCGTGTAAAGTGTGAACTCCGGAAACAAGCAGCTCCGCCGCTGATCTCCGCCACGAATACTGGCCGTCAAACTTAAATCTCCACCCTCGCATCTAAATCAAACTTCATCGATATGAGATAGTATAACTCAAATCAAATTGTTCTCAATATCGATATCCTGATTTTGTATTTTTTTTCTCCGATCAATTGAGGATTCCGATAAATCGATGATGGGATCCGAGAATCAGGGCTTCGAAGAAGCCCAACTCTATGCATCTCGCGAAGAAATGGAGTCTCTTGTTCTTGACGACGACGATAATAATAATAATAATAACGATAACAATTCGTCATCCAGATCCAACGGCGGTGCAAATGGAGATGGTAGTCAACATCACCATCCTCTCTCTTCATCCTTGCCGTTTGCGGAAATACCGACCACCGACGATGATGATCCTTTGTTATCTTCGCCGTCCACCCACAAAAGCCCTAACGCGTTCAATTCGTTCCTTGAACCCCCTTCTTATGCGGATGCGGTATTCAGATCGTTCGACGGTGACCACGGCAAGCAAATTAACGGTCACGGTGTTGTGTCCACGTCTTCTCCGTCTTCCAGTTCCGATTACTTGAAGATTTCCGTTACGGATCCGCAGAAGGACCAAGATCTAAAAAATTCCCTTGTTCCCGGCGGAAACACCTTTGTGACCTACTTGATTACCACGTGGACAAATCTACCGGAGTTTAACGGAACCGAGTTTAGCGTCCGGCGACGGTTTAAAGACGTTGTGACGTTATCAGACCGGTTATCGGATTCATACCGAGGGTTTTTTATCCCGTTGAGGCCCGATAAAAGTGTCGTTGAGAGCCAAGTTATGCAAAAGCAAGAGTTTGTTGAGCAGAGGAGAATGGCTTTGGAGAAATACTTGAGAAAGCTAGCTGCGCATCCGGTGATAAGGAGAAGTGAGGAATTGAGAGTGTTTCTTCAGGTGCAAGGAAAGCTGCCATTGATGAAGACAACGGATGTAGCGTCAAGGATGCTTGATGGGGCAGTGAAGCTGCCCAAGCAATTGTTTGGGGAGTCCGTTGTGTCTGCAGCTGTTGATCCCAACGAGGTCTCACAGCCGGCGAAAGGAGGGAGGGATTTGTTGAGGATTTTCAAGGAGTTGAGGCAGTCGGTTACAAATGACTGGGGTGAAACGAAGCCACCGGTGGTTGAAGAGGATAAGGAGTTTTTGGAGAAGAAGAAGAAACTGCAGGACTTCGAGCTGGAGTTGAGTAACGTATCTCAGCAGGTCTGTCGTTTCTCCTTCTAATTCCCTTTGGCTCACCATTAGAGGATCTAGTTTGATGTAGAAAACAGATTTCATCATATTCTCGTTTCATCTTGTGGAACTCCAGGCCGAGTCTCTTGTTAAAGCTCAACAAGATATTGGAGAGACCCTGGGGCAATTAGGGCTGGCATTTGTGAAACTCACCAAATTTGAATCGGAGGAAGCCATGTTCAACTCCCAAAAAGTGAGAGCTGCAGATATGAAAAACGTAGCTACATCTGCTGTTAAAGCCAGCAGATTATATCGGGAGTTGAACGCACAAACTGTCAAACATTTGGTATCTGCTACATTCCTTATCTGCTTCTTTAATCTTTCAGCTATGTTCAAACTTGGCCTCTGTTGTTTTTTGCAGGATAAGCTTCATGAATATCTTGGAGTAATGTTAGCTGTGAACAATGCATATGCAGATCGATCAAATGCTTTGTTGACAGTTCAGACTCTTCTTTCAGAGCTTTCAAATTTAAATTCCAGGATTGAGAAGCTTGAAGCAGCTGCTTCCAAGATATTTGGTGGTGACAGGTCAAGAGTTAGAAAACTTGAGGAGTTGAAAGAAACCATGAGGGTTACTGATGAAGCTAAAAATTGTGCAATTAGAGAATATGAACGGATAAAGGTATTTCATTAATCATTACTAACAACACAATTACCAAAATTGAAATTTCTTATCAATTGTGTTTTACAGGAGAATAATAAGAATGAGCTTAACAGACTTGACAAAGAAAGACATGATGACTTCTTTGGCATGTTGAAAGGATTTGTTGTTAACCAGGTATCCATTTTGTAACTTATCTAATCCTAAGGGTTAGTGTCTTAATACCTTAAGCCAAGTTTTTTTGGCTTAACGTATTAAGTCATTATGTGCATATTAAGTAAATCAGAAAGAATATTGTTTTTTTGTTG